CTGCGGCGAAGGCCGTCTATGCTTCAATCTCCCAACCCAAGCACGCACACTCAGAAATTATTTCTGCAGTGCCGTATTTACCGTTCATTTTGTGAAACGGAAACGTTAGAAAGAGCGAAGTTTCCAAACGCTTGAAACAGTGCTACGTACAATGGGCCTAGATATGGCGGCGTCCGCAGTCGTAGTGGTCGGGTCGGTCTGCTGCAACATTTGCTGCCGCAGCGAATGTTTTATCTGTCGGTCATAAAAGTCTGGTTCGCGTGTGCGTCTCCTGTGCTACTTTGGATTTTGTTATCCGTCACTGAGTGCCCACCGACGAGGAGCCTGGAATGGCAGTGGTGTTTGTTGTGAACGAAGACGTGAACCGTCGCCGATGTCGCCATGTGTTTTGCGTACCAGCGGTCTAACGACGAGATGACGTGTGTTCTCTTTTATATTAGAGTTGAATTAAATCACTCGAGAGATTACGATACAATCTATCGCTGTAGCGTATCGACTCAAACGCTAACTGCGCGAGCACATGAGGCGCGGGACCGGACCAGCGTTCCGCATGCCAGGCAAGCGCATTCGAACACCGAGCCGCCACCAGCCGAGCAACCTTTGTCATGCTTACCTTTTATAGTAAAACCCTATGGCGCTGTTAAGTACCGAGCGAGACAGGACACCTTGGTGGGCTTAGCGCGATGCGCCCCGCTTTACTAACTCAGATATGTACAACATGGTCCTATTCGAGAAGGCTCGGCGTAGAAGAGGCCGTGGCTCGCGTTGGCACGCGCAGGTGCGTTGACCCATGCTCGCGCTCCGCGCTCTCTCAAGATACAATTCAGTACACACCTTCCCCCTAAAATTAATCCCGCAAGTACCGAGGACGACGCTGTTCACGCTGTGGGCGTCCTAACGAAGAAACACCTGGAGTTGGATTTGGAGACTGCGGATGCGATGTTGACAGGTTATCCTGGACGGACTCTTTCGTACTCGACGTGACGTCCGGCCCGACGTCATGGCCAGTAGTTCCGAGGTCTGGCACGTCGCAGTTGCCCCTCAGAGTAGGGTTTGGCATATCGCATATCCTACTTCGGATGTGATTGATGTGTCGCCGCCACACACGTCAGTCTTCAAGCTGTACCTGGTAAGAGACAGGTCCCAACTTGCATAAAATCTCCCCTGGCAACCAGCGGTTCCCGCTTGCGCTGAAATACATTGCAAACACGGTGCTTCCTTGCGCGAACTGTCGAACAGCCTTCCGACCGTCGATCTCGAAAGATGCCTCCTGGCGCTGGGCCATGACTAACTGTTCATCAGGATGTAGCTGATCCAAGGCTGATCGGAGTTGTCGACTGAACAGAAGCTCCGCAGGGCTCTTTCCTGTTGAGGTGCTTGGAAGAATGTGTAGCTCGAACAAGAACCTGGCCAGACGAACGGACCAGTCCCCTCGAATTATTTTCTTCAGCGACTTCTTCGTCTCCTGCACCATCCTTTCGGCTTGGCCATTCGAAGGTGGGTGATACGGTGCCACCAGGACTTGACGGATGCCGTTTCGACGGAGGAAATCCTTAAAATCGCCTGAAGTGAAGGCAGTACTATTGTCCGAATCCACCACGTCCGGCAGTCCGTGCGTAGCGAATAAGGTTCGGAGTACAGTGATCACAGCCGAGGCGGATGTAGATTTTACTCGCAGGACTTCCAGCCATTTGGAGTGGGAATCCACTACGATAAAAAAATACTCGCCCTGGAAAGGACTCGCAAAGTTGACGTGCAGTCTCGACCACGGTCTTATCGTAAATTCCCACGGGTGGACGGGGGGCACGGGCTTGAGCGTTTCGGGATTCCTGACACGGAACACAGCGCCACACTCGGCGTTCTATATCTTTGTCAAGGCCCGGCCACCAGACATAACCCCTTGCAAAACCCTTCATCCTCACAGCCCCCGGATGACAACTGTGCAAGAGGTTCAACACGATTTCCCGAAGAGGTGGGGATGTGATGACACAGCTGCCCCAGAGAATACAACCATTATAGACAGACAGTTCGTCACGGTGAGAGTAGTAAGGCCTGAAAACCTCTGGAGGTTTCTCTGATGGCCAGCCGTGCAGGATCCAGTGCAGTACCTGGAAAGAACACAATATTTCTTCGTCAAAAAAGCCACTTGTTTTGCGTCGATGTGTACCTCCGGCGTTGATTCGATGAGGAGAACATCACAAAGAGGAGGTACCTCAAAATCCTGAATCTTCTGAGGAAGACGGCTGAAAAGGTCAGCGTTGCCCATCTGTTTCCCAGGTCTGTAAATGAGCTCATAATGGTACTGGGCTAACATCAGGCTCCAGCGCAACAGACGCGGTGATAGAACCTGAGGAATTGGCTTGCTGTGGTGCAGTAACCCCAGAAGAGGCTTGTGTTCTCTAAAAATCTTGATATGTCGTCCATACAAGAACTGATGAAACTTATTCACACCAGCTACGACAGCTAACGCCTCACGATCCATCTGCAAGTAGTTTCTTTCGGCTTCTGTCATTGTTCTTGATGCAAAGGCCACAGGGAATTCTTCACTGGGCAGTAACAGATGGCTCATGACGAAATGTAGGCCATATGAAGAAGCGTCGCAGGGCAATATTAAGGGACGCTCGACGTCGTAATGTGCCAACACAGTCAAAGACTGTAGAAGGTCTTTGGCACGTTGGAAAGCTACCACTTCCTCTTTTCCCCACTTCCACGATGCACCTTGGTCCAGCAACCGATGTAGCGGTTCCAAGACTTGAGCAGCCCCCCTTAAGAAGCGGCCATAGAAGTTCAGAAGTCCTAGGAAGGATTGCAACTGTTGTTTATCTTGCGGTTCTAGAGCGGTCTGAATAGCCTGAACCTTGTCCTCAGTGGGGTGGATGTCTTCCTTGTCAATTTTGTATCCCAGGAAAGACACTTGAGGCACTCTGAAACTGCACTTGACCTTGTTCAGGCGGAGCCTGTCGTCACTGATTCTTTTCAGCACGGCCCAGAGACGAGACTCATGATCTTCATCGTTCTGACCGCCGATCACAATATCGTCGAGAAACACTAAGACACCTTTGAGTCCAGCGAGGAGCTCTTCCATATAGCGTTGGAAGATTGCCACAGCCGTAGCAACGCCGAACTACAGACGGGTGATTCTGAAGAGACCCTAATGAGTATTGACTGTTTGGAGGTCCACTGTAGCTTGATCCACTACCTTCTGGTGGTAGGCCTGTTCTAGATCCAACTGTGAAAACTTCTCACACCCAGCCAGTTTGGCAAACAGTTGATCGGCAGTTGGTAAAGGGTATGTTTCCCATCCAATGACTCGGTTCACTGCGCACTTGTAATCACCGCACAAGTGAATGTTCCCGTTCTTTTCGAGAATAGGCACGACTGGGGTCGCCCATGAGCAATACCATACTGTTTAAAAAATTCCTTGTTCGACCAGTTTGTCGATGGCGTCGTCCACCTTGGGCAGCAGCGGAAGTGGAATCTGATGAGCCTTGAAAAATTTGGGAGTCGTGGCAGGGTCGACATCCACATGAACAGGGGGTCCCCTGCTTCTTCAAAGTCCTGGCTGAAAAAGCTTGGGAAACTCGTCAATCACGTTGCGAATTGCAGCCGCTTCCGCCTGAGGGGGCAATGTGTCGACATGAAGGACTTCCTCCAAGGAGATGCCCAAGGACTGGAACCAGTTGCACCCTAGCAGGCTCACACCAAACCCTTTGACTACCACAAGTTCGAATTTCATTTTCTTCTCCTTGAAGGACACGTCAGCTGTTACCCTCATGAAAACTTTGAGACGTCGGAAGGCGCACGGTCTGAGGCGATGGCGCTTAAGCCTACGATGTGTTCGTTTCGCTCGGTATTTAACAATTGGCCGGAGAATAATATTGGAACGCAGCTTCAATTCGCCGTGGCTAACGTGACTGTCGTTTGGCACCTTTTTGATTGCACATAAGCGGCTGTTCTATTCGATAGGGGCTGAACAGGCCTAAAATATTCGTAAAATAAACCATGTCTGCCTCCTGCAGCAGCGACACATACATGATTCCTGGTTGATAAAGTTTGTTAAATGAAAATCAAACAAACAAAAAAAAATGGTGTCAGGGAATATACACACGTATATTCCCTTAGCAAACATCTGCTTGCCTGTCCTCTGGACAATGGAGTCCTGGGTTTAAGCCCACCCTGGTTCCTGTTGCTGTACTTCGCAGTTCGGTCACTTATTCAGTGGTGTGACATTATCTATTGGGAATATTGTATCCAACAGTTTGTGCATTTATTACTTTTGTGCCTTCTCAATCAACACAGCTCTCTCTCGATAGCCATGGCAATTACTATGATACAGCGAGTTATATTTGCCATATACAAAAAAAAGCCCATTATTATTTTTGTGCCTTGTACACTTGCAAACGTGATAGTGCACAAGGGAAACACTGTTGTGACGTGCTTCCGAGATGCAGAAAGGGGAGCTTAAAAAAGCCAGAGTTCATAACGCTTGCCACCTCACAGAAAATCTTACTACCCATGATATGGCCATGACACGATTTAAAGGACATGCATGGTTGCTAAAGCTCAGATTGTTCTTTGGGTCGTTAACAACATCCATTGGCTAGTAAAAATATTTGTGGCATAACGACAATGTATTTTAACAAATTCCAGTGCTCATTTGTTTAAGCTCCTGGCTATCCAATGAGTTGCTGGAAAATAGCCTAGATAGAATATTAGATTGTTCTAATTTTATGTGCAGTCTGTAGACTGTTGTGCCAATCGGATGCCTTTCGTTAGCAGACGGACGCCGCAGGTAGCGAATTCACACTCCTCTTTTTGTATTTTTTACTCGGGTAAGTTTATTCCTTAAAATGTTGACACACGAAATGCACTATCTTTCACCACCACTGCAGAAAATCTTACCTCGCAACATAAAGATATTAATTCACGTGGTTCCTTTAAAGAGCCGACAATCTATTTGATTTACCCTGTAGAATGTTGTTTCTCACAGCAGGATGTCCTCAAACTTGCAAAACTGCAAAGTGAGGAACAATCTCATAGAAAGTTCCTGCATTGTACAGGTCAAGAGGCCTAAAGTCGAAATGGTTGTCCGGCGTCATTGCTACAACATCGACACATTTCTCAACAATGTAGGAGCACCTGTGACTGCAGAAACGCACCGTTTCCAGGCGTCTGCAAAGAAGAATCAATACACCACTCATCACCAGCAGCCTCTCCACCTGCAAAAACTTTGGGGTGTCATTCTGCACTTCGGAGACGAACACATCTCTCAGACGGTATGTGCAGCTGTTGGTGCTAGCAGTCTTCACAGAGCAAAGGGTGATTTCTGATGTGATGGCGCAGACAGCAACTTGCTCTTCGTCTGAGAGGCTCGTCACCTTGACCACAGCAGACCCTGTTGTTTCAATGGAGCTTTCAAAAAGCTTTCCAGACAGCTCGTAAGCTTGCAACAGCTGATGCCGTGTGCCCAGTGTTCGGCAGATGTTACGGAAGTTCCGAACATTTGAGGCAACGGCCTTGAAGTAGGCATGCTTCGCCTCGAAGCGCATTCCCCAGTAGCGACGGGGCGGGCCAAACCTCTGTATGAAGCCCGGGTAATGCAGCAGATAGTGCAGCTTTGCGGTGACTGTTACGGATGGGTAAAGGGACGTGAAGGTCTCCAGGAATTCTTGGATTTTCACCTCCAGGTAAGCAATGCAGTCTCGTGGAATATTCTCTGCCAGGATGATATCAATGCAATGTCTGTAGGCCAGGTAAACTTCCCAGTGTGGGTTGTTGACGGGCACAGAATCTCCGAAGATCTGTGGAAGGAGCCTGAATAAACACCACTTCTGAGCTGCCGTACCTCTCAGGTTGGCTTTTCCTTGCAGAAACTTGTCCTTTAGTGCAACAGGGGTAGCCTTCCTGTCATGGAAGCCATAGTTGAAGCTTGCTACCTTGTTGATATCAGATTTCTGAAGCAGGCCATCTTGAATCAGACCACGCAGGACATGCTGCATGACAAGCCCCATTCCCCCCTCCAAAATGTCATGCATGGCATCTGGAGGGAGTTGTGTTGTGATGTCAAACTTTGTTAGGCTTTGAAGTGCTGGAATGGCAGATATGCCGTACAGCGGTCCGTTTTGTGTTGGATTGAGAGCAAATGCTTTCAGGTGGCTCTCGTGTCCTGCGTAAGTTCTCATGATGCAGTTGGCCTCAGAGAGCAACTTATGCAGATGCCCGTACCGAGCAAGGCAAAAACGACATATGCGACCACTGCTGAAGCTGCATTGGAGGCCTGCCATTTTGTGCATGGAGAGGTTGTCTCCGGTGAAAGCAACTGTCACCACATTAAAATGCTTCCCTTGTGCATGCACACCATACTCATGAGCATAGTTTAAGTCTTGGATGAGCGGAGCAAGAACTCGATCCAAGCCATACTTCTTAACGTCTGGGTACTTGACAAGCAACAGAAGATGCACGGCATTCAATTTCGATCGGTGCCTTGGGTGAATGTTGATGATCGAGAAGTAGACAACCAGAATCTTATGCGACCCAGCTGCTGCACCCAGTGGATTGCTCAGCTCAAGCTCATCCGAGTACAGGAGGAGGAAGATTGTGGGTGTCCCACTGTCGATCTGCTGCAGGCGTTGGCTGATGAAGTCTCCATCAGTGATGTCCTGAAGCACTTCAGACTGTTCTATGGGCTGCATTACACTTTCCAGGATGTCGGGGCATGACAGCAGGTTGCTAAGCAGTTGTGAAACTGGTATGTAGCACATAGTGTGTTGCAATTCTTGATTGTCTGTATGAAGAGGCATCACCAAAGGATTTGTGTAAGGCAGGTTCTCCATCACATACTTATTTCTGAGGTACGTGGTCTGGATCCCCGAGAAGATGTCCTCGACAATGCCTTCAGAATTTTGAAGAGAAGCCAATTTCTCCCTCACTGACACGGTGACGTTCTCCCTCTCGAGAACCTCTCGGGTTTGGTCTGCGACACTTTCAAGAACTTCGGAAACAACGTTTCTCATCACTCGCAGGATTTCATCAGCAGTGCTATGGGCTAGCTTTAACTGCTCTGTAATCTTGAGGTGAAACAACGCCAACTGTTTTCGGAGAGCACTTCTTCTGTCTTCTCTTGGCTCTGCTGCAGAGGGTTGTTCTTGTGACGACGGACCGGGTGGGTGTGCACTCTCGCATTCGGTTTCTGTTGCGGTTTCATCACTGGCAGCTTCTTGAAATCTGGCTTCAGTGGAAGTTGATGCCATGGCATCCTTGTGTTTTCGATAACAATGTTGTTTATACGATCCATAACGTCGAAATGATGCGGCACAGCCGCCGATCCCACAAACGACTCTAAAGTCTGTTTCGCAGCTATGCACACTCATATGATGGACAACGCGTTTGATGGACGCTGCCAAGAAAGGACACTTTGGGCAGCGTATAAGATCTCGAGGCATATTGCACAGTCAGCCTGTTGACCATGACACAATCAAAGTTGTCATTCCACGGCGAAACCAGCTGACTTGCGCGGTGATGCTCGAGCTTGTCTTGTGGCAAAGTCGTCAAGCTTCCAACCAGCTGGGAATACACACACTGCTTTAGCATGGAGTCACATACATGAACGGATAAGTCTTCTTCGCACGGAGGCAAAAATCCGAAGGTTTGCCGAGGAACGCCGCGGGGAATGTTTCGTTTTCAGACTACCTTATCTGCGCGAAAAGCGCTTGGCAAGAATAGGCGTGCTCAATTGTCCAGTCTCTCCTGTCCTTCGGTGATCACGTGCTTTATAGCATGAATCATTTTTAATGGTATCTAAGGCATAAGTTATTAATAAAATTTACTTAATTTTTTAAAAAAATATTTTTTTATTATTACCGAAACGCCAAACTTGTATTTACTTATAAATACATAAAGTGCGTAACCGCGCAGAGTGACTCCCCACGACTACGCAGAGTAACTCCCCGCGACTACGCCGAAGGACTCGCGCAAATGTCCCGCGCTTCTACTCTGGTTTCGGTTTCACTTTATTCATGGCAGATACGCGGCTCAGCAGCGAGAATACATTTTGAGTAGTGTATTGAGTCGAGAAGATATGCATTATTTTTCGTAGCGCCACGTACCTTCAAGCGAGACAGATGGCTTCTGAAGTAAATATCTGAGGCCCCACCACCAACGTAATCTCTTCTCCAGAGGTTATTATCGTCATTCTTGTTCAGTTTGCTTGCATCTTTCCATTTGGTTTTAAGCAAATTAACCAATCCGAAACCTGACACTGACAGCTGCAAACGTGCTGCCCATTTTCTTTTTATTTTCACGAAGAAAAAAGTTTGTTGCGTTGAATTTGAATTCCAAAGAAAAACAAAATAGCTCAATAAAGCAAGGCATATTTGGAAATTTTACTGTAGTAATGTTACGCTCGTTCTCAGTGAACCCACGACTTTCGCAGATTCGCGCCATTCGCGCCCGAGTTCTGAACCGTGCGGTTGAGCCTGCTTCGAGCCGGGAATCGGGATACACATACAGTTGAGTCACCTGCGGCTACTTATATTTTGTATTTATTTGGTTTTATTTTCGTGCCAAGTCACCTGGCTCTTCTTTTAGACAACGATAACATGTTACGTTTTGTAGGCTGCTACGAAAAGTTTTGTCGGCCTTTGAGCTTGCCGCCCGGCGCAACCGAAACTGACATTAGGGATGCTTTCCGCATCAAGTTCCCGGAGATTTGGGACCTGGAGAGTGCCCTGATTCAGGTGTGTAAATATCTATATATATATTTCTTTTTGTCTTTCGTTTGAAACTTTTGGTACACAAAGCGAAATAGATATCTGTGTTGTCCTAAACATTTTCAAGGATAATGGAAAGGCTGTTGCTATGTTTAGGCATTTCAGTGAAACGCTTCCTTCGGTTCGACATATGTGGTTTATTTTCATGATTATTAAGTTAAAAAACGTAAATTACCTCACTTGAAAAAAAAAACAAAAAAAAAAAACGCTCAGATATAAAAATAAAGGGCCTGTTTGCTGGAAAAAGAAAAGAAAAAAATCAGCTTTGATGCATAAATAATATGCACATACTGAAAAAAAGAAAAAGAAAACTTGTACAATTTTTTGCTAGAGATCCAGTCTGAATGCAGAAAGTGAAACAAAAATGAGATACATTTTGATGTCAAATTGAATGTGAATATATTTATAATCGCATGAAGTATCAGTATTAAATTCCACCAGAAACAACCCGGCCAGTCTGAATGAATGCACTAAGTGAAGCAAAAATGAGGTATATCAGTGACAGATTAAATGTGTGTGAATGATAAATTGCAGGAATTGAGCACATTCATTGTGAGGAACATGCAATGAGCATTAATGAGCAGAAACAAATAGCAGAAATAAGTCACTGAGCACAAAACCTCTCTCTAGACACTTCATTCAGTTTTTTTCTTGATATCTGAAGAACAATCATGTTCATTTCAAAGGGCAATTGCCTTTACTGTTCAAATGTTGGCCAATTTTCTCTCCACTCAGATCATTCAGTTTACTGTATATACATAGCCTAACATACCTCATGTCTTAGCATGTTGAAACAGATAAATTGCACTTCTAGAATGAAGTGACAGATTTTTTAACCCACTGTAGAAAACAAATAAAAAATATTAATTCAAATTTGTTTTTAGACAGTAAGCATTGTTAGTTACTCAAGTTCTGCAAACCTGTTCTACAACAATTTAGATGAGATGCTTTGGCAATCTTGTATTGCAACCTATCTCCTTCACCAAATCTTCAGGAAGGCCACTCAATCTGCACATTTTTGGTACAGAAGTGCTACATACGGCACGTGCCTTCCAAAGTTTGAGATTGCAGATCTCCCTAAAGTTGGCTTCACCTTTATTAAAAACTAACTTTTTTCCAGAACTGCAGCTTCTCTGCAGTGTTTTCAATGGCGCTGAGCGGGAGAAAATTCTGCACATTTGTCCTATTATGTACTATCATGCACATTGGTGCTCAGAAGCTCCTATCCCCAAAGTTCTTCACCCATGGTGGCTTCAACTCGGTCATATAATTTAGTTTCTTTTTTCAGATTGCAGCTTTTCTGCAGTATATCTAAATGGGCTTTCTAGTTTCAGCAGGGTGGATATGACATCTTTGGCACAAAAAATACCTTAAAAAAAATCACCGCTCAACATTTAGGTCACGACACACGTTTTGAGTATTGTGACATGGTTCTATTTTAGAATAATATACCAAAATAGAAGCATGTTTTCGAATCACTCCCCACTCAAAATGAGTCTCATGACATGATGTAGATAGTGTGCTAATCATTGTTTTGGGGGAAAGTTTATCTTTTAATAGATGTGTCCTATCCAAGCATTTAACAAAAAAAGATTTTGGAAGTTCAGTGTCCCTTTAATTAATAAGTCCTTCTATTCATTACGCAAACATCATCACATGTTACATGCTGTGTGGGCTTACCATATATATATATATATATATATATGTTCAATATTGTGCATCATGTTTAAAGTGACGTGTTAACACAGTGTTTTCCTTTTTTTAATTTTTTAACTTAGAGAAGATAAAAACAGATAAAAAATTTCCTTAAGAACATCACTAATAATATGTCTGTCATCTTCAATGTTTTCCAGGTCTATGATGCCCAGCTTGATGCGTACCTTGACTGGGATAAGGACACTGTTATTTACGAAAAATCAAAAATTAAAGTAATTCGGTTAGAAAGCAACCCCAATGAAGCTTCACTATCATGCCAACCAAGCACTAGTGCGACCAGTGTGGACAAGTAAGACTTCAGTTATAGCTGTCGAGAGCTGCACATCTTATTGGGATCTTACATTTGCAGTCCCGAGATGTCACCTATGTTGTCAGCACAACAGGAACTGAAGAAGCTTGATCCGACAACATACGTGTTTCCAAAAGCACCAGCAGACATAGCCATCCGGCTCAGCACACTCGGTGAAAAGTCACTGGTACCCACGAGCCTCAGGAACAGAATAATTGAGTGGCTGTGTCACGACCTCTTCCGATATACACTGTAAGTGCCCTGCCCTTGCCAGAAATTTGATAAGAGAGCAAGTCAATGAATATCAGGGGAATTAACAGACAGATGCTATTTTAATTAGTGATGAGAAAAACTCAAGACCATGGACCACATCCGGCTTCTGAAAAAATTTTCTGAGGCTCCTTACTGTCTAGCTTTAGGTTATCCGCAGCCTTGCCTTGCATGCTTGCTATCAATTAACATGCATGCCAGTCAACATTGCAGTTTCAATTGCACTCTTTTGGTATGCCTTTAGCTTACATGTCTCAACCCAAGTAGGCTCGCTCTCTTAAATGTTGGTTTGGGATGTGCAAATAATGTAGATAAAGAAAGGTTTATAAAAACTGCTGAGCGTTTTTCCAAAGTCTTTCGAAAACCCAGAATGTTAACACATTTTTTGAAAGATCAGTATCTGTTTCTTTTGCCATTGTTGTTCTCGCAGACAAAGATTGTGAAGTCGCTGATGATGCCAATCTGAGTGATTGCCTCCCTAACCCAAAACATTGGAGGTTGTGTCCACTTATTACATTAGTGGAGCAAAGCAGTACTACTAACATTTTGATAGTTGACTATGTTTCCAGTAATAGGATGTTAATGTTTCACAAATCTGAAGATTCGCCACAAAACGTATGAGACAAGCTTTTAATGAGGAGCGCAAGTTTGTCTTCTCTTGGGCAGAGGTTACAGTGAAGGCAGAACGCCAAGCTCTTATTGGCCGATTGAAAAAAAATAATGGGTAGGCCTCAAGGCATCTAGCATTGAGGTCTACCCACTATCCTTCCATCAAAGCCAATCAAACAGCATCATTTTGACGTCACCGCAACCGCTGTGCAAGAAGCAGACGACTTGCTCTTTGCATGTACAATCCTTAAAAGCTTTGCAGATGCTAATTTGGGCCTGCGGAGCACCACGGTTTGCACCCTTCCCTTAATTACTAAATAAATGTGGAGACATGAGGAAAAAATGGGGGACAGGACAACAACGTTTGAGACATTGTTGTCCTGTCCCCCTTTTTTCCCCCGGGACACCGGTAATTATGCACCAGCAGCTCGCCTGCACCTCATATTTTGTTTCACACTTCCTTTCGTGGTTTATGCAATACTCACTTAAAGGTGTTTTTTTGTTTTTTTTAAACGTCTGCCTCTGCTGGAAATTGTTTTAAGTACTTTAGTTTCAATCACTGTCAGAAAAACATAAAAATTAAGATATCTGCTTTATTACGTTCGTGAAAACCTATGCAAAATCAAATAAATACCATAGAATATGAAGCATGTGCCTATGTCACAGGTGCCCACCCACTACTTTTGAACACTACTTTTGAAATGTTTGGAAACTGAGTAAAGGACATACCAAGCGACCTCCCCAGACTTTTGAACTCCCCTGTACTTCGTCTCATCCTACGATGGACTAAAGGCCAAAGCCACGGGCCGCCAGGTCCAATCATGTTCCACGCTAAACTATGACACGCTTAGCATTGATTAGGTTTGGACGAATAATGCTCCGAATCCAAGAACGCTGCGTCATTTTTATAGCTTCGGCACTGCAAAGAGCCAGCACGCCGTGGCTTTCTTTGCAATGTAAACTTTCTGAGTCACTCATTGCTCGATCCGAACCACTGTCCGCCCATTTCCATCAGTGATCCGAGACGCGAGCACCGATATGTGCTTTGAAGCGAAATACCACGGAATGTCTAAATGGCTCGTGATTGGATCTGGCGGTTCGTGGCTTCTGCCTTTAGTCCATCGTAGGGTGAGACGAAGTATAGCTGAAGTGCTCACCCTCGTCAGCCGCTTCTCCATGCAAAACCGCGCAGGGTGGTGAAGCCTGCCCTATCAAGTATCCCTTCTGCATTTTGCCACTCAGACCAAACAGGCACTCTTCCCTCGGGTTTTCAAGCTTATATATACAAATCGCAGGTGGGCACTTGCTCGGTACTTTTATAATGCTCCAAAGTTACAAACATGAAAAGCACAAGGGCTCATAGAAAATTAAAATTCTCCTGAGGTACTACATTGTCCCTCCATGAACAACCCGAGACATGTTCTGTTTGACTTTAGTTTTACTCAAATTATTTGAAGTGTGATTCCCGCTTTGGAACATTACTTCTTCAGTTTATAGTGCAATCTTACTTCTTTTAGTTATCCCCAGCGCCTGTACGTTGAAGCGGCCAGGCAGCTTGTGATACAACATCGTGTACTGCGTGACAGAGTGGGCAACGGCTATGTAAGTTACTTTATATTCCAGAAAAAAAACTGCTTCACAACTTTGTTTTGGTGCCATTTTATGCAGGGCTCCTTGCACCGAGCTCTGCGCTTTAAGGTCAAGTTTGAGCGGAGCAAGATTGAAGATGTGGGTGTTGTTCAAGAGAACCGAACAAAATTTGGAAGGAAGCACGCAGAGTCTGACACATGCAACGATGACAACAACAACTGTGCGAAAAGGATCAGTCGCAGGGTGAATGATTTTTTATTTATTTATTCAGTTTCTCTTAATAGAAAAACATCAGTTGCAGCAAAGCTCATGCTCTGCTGATTCTCCCCACTTGAGAGAAAGGACGCTCTTTACGTGACTGATAGCAGAGTCCAGAGAGCAACCTTCTGCTCCATGTATAGCACACCTGCCGAGGCATAAGACATACCATAGATCAATACAGACCAACTCCTGGCTGTAGAAACGTTCTTAAGAAATTCTACCTTTCTTTCCCTTCGAAGTAAGTAACATCTGTAAACGATATTCCACTTATAACGATAATAAGAAAACCCGAAAACTCAGTCGTTATAACTGATTATCGTTGTATCTGGACTAGAAACTGATTGTCTACTCTAGAAACTCTAGACACTGATTGTTATAAGCAGCATATTGTTATAAATAAATTGAACTGTAATACTTGAGAGAACAAATTGTAAATGACTTCCTCATTAAAGGCAGTTGAACTCATAATGTAAGTCTTTTTAGTTTGGCTTGCCTCAAAAGAGAAGCAAGAAAATGGTCCTTTCAACGTAAGCTTTTTGCAGGAGCAGTGGGTGTGGTGTGAATCATATGTGCTGAATTTGGAAGTGCTATGTAAACTCGGACTTCACCTTTAAACTACTATGTTAACAATATTCTGCAAAACGTTTGCCCTTTCCAGCCAGGGAATCTGGCAGCCATGGTTGAAGATGAATTGAGCATCAAAGCACACATTGACTCCATGCAGAAAGAGATGGCAAAAGCCAGTCCTGACACTGAGAAAGTCAGGGACTCAATGGAACGAACATTTGATGCTCGTCGAAAGTGGATTGCCGGAGAGTGCCCCTCAGCAGCAGATATTTTTGAGACATATCCTGCACTGGGGGCGGTGGAGGAAGTAAGTGAAGAGCACTGCAGAGCTAGACATTTTAGAATTGTAGAAAGAGTTTTTGTTTGCTTACAATATATTCGCACTGGAAAAAATTAGAAATGGGCTCCGTAGCACACTTGTCCCGACCTATAGATTGAGATTGTACGGAGAATCTTAGTTCATTCCTTTTTCGACCTGGTATGTACTTCGTCTTCGTCGTGGCTGGTGGTCGACAGGCACTTTCCCCCTAATGAGGAGATCTAAGAGATGAGTGATTAAGTTATGAAGTTGTAACGTGATGGCCAAGAAGCGACAGCGTTCGATCTTAGGCTACCATTTTTATATCTGTTCGCATTTCTGTCGCGCGCACTCCCAGAGCGCGCTTCTTCTCCTTCGCCGTGGCGGTACTAGCGATCATCACACCATCCCCCCTTCACGAGGAAGTTGCCGTCCCGGCACTAGGCTTCTCATGCTAGAAGCACTCAATCGCGATACCGCGCGGGTCGACTCAATGTTTCTCGTGGCCGAAGGAGGTATCGCTCTGCTGGCGTTGCCTGCTGTGGCACGTCTACAGGCAAGTCCGTTGAAGTGACGTCATCAGGGGGCAAAAGAACAACTGGATGTTGATCGTCGTCCAGGAGTTCGGCACCGTTCGCTGGTGGCGTATTGTGCTGGCCTCCGTCAGTGCCTTGGTCCCCGTTTTCTTCTACTTGGTCTTCAACGTGAAGCTCGTTGTCGAGGATGTCTAACAGCGGTGGGTTCTCATGAGCGTCGGCCAGGTTCGGATCCTCAGCTGCTTGTACCGGCGGTAGACTTTCGACCGCATCGACGTACAGATCATCGCCTTCAATGTCTATTATGTCTGGGTAGTCTGGGACTGCTGGGCGTGTAGGAGTCGGGTCGTTATCTTTGTTTTCTGTGGCGTGTGATAACGTCCTGGCAGGCAACAAGACTGGCTCCTTCCCATCGGCTACCCGCTTCAAACGGTTGTGGTGTACAACCCGCCGCTTTCTTTTTCCAGTTTCTTCCTGGATTCTGTACACGTTGTTAGGAAGCTTCTTGAGGACTACATAAGGACCCAACCATGGCAAATATAACTTCGAGGACTGTCCTCGCGGCACAGCGGGAGAATGTAGAAGAACTCTGTCGCCAGGTTCGTAGTCTTCTTCCCTGGCCGTGCTGTCGTAGTGGCGCTTCTGCGCATCCTTTGCTTTCATGAACATGCTTATCGACTCCGGGTCATCAGCGACCATTTTACGAGGCGACAAGTGGCTTGAGCTCTCGCGCGACAACCCTGACCTTGAGTTCACTCACCGAGAGGGAGTCATTGGCCTTAACGGCGCCGCCTTCGAAGTATGGGGAACATGCAGCTTAAACATTGAGGTTGCAGATCTCTCGGTGAGCCACCCTGTCATTGTTATTCCCGGCATCCTACATGAGTTCGTCCTGGGACTGGACTTTTTAATAAAACACCGATTTCGGGTTGACTTCAGCGAGAGAAAACTCGAACGACAAGCACAGAGCCCATGTGCCCAGACCCAAAGAGTTCAGCTTTCTGTCACGTCGGTTCTGCCACCGAGGACCGCAACCATCGTTCTCGGGACCATTTCACCGAATACGGCAGAGTTCGGTACTGGGCTTCTCGAACCTCGCCCGGATCTCCTCGTGAAAAGGAATACTGAAGTCACCTGGAGCGTGTTGACAGTGTCCGATAAGCTACCAGTATGTGTCATCAACCATTCCGAAGAGCCGGTCACCTTATTCAAGGGTACAAATCTCGGAACCCTGCACGCTTTTGACCACCCTGAAGGCGAGTACTCCGCTGCTCCACTTGACAAGAGGCACGCGCAGGCGGCACGAGACAGCGTCTGCTCTGCGACGAAAAGAGAGAAATGGACACTCACCTCGCTGCAAGATGAGCTTGCCGCATCACAACACCTCCAGGGTAATCAACAAAAACTGATCGAAGGTACGCTTCTTGACTTCGAGGATGTAATTTCTCAGGGTGATTGGGACTTGGGGAGAACGTCAGTTCTGACGCATTCGATCGACACTGGTGCGGCCGGACCAATAAAAGAATCCCACCGCTGCCACCAATTGTAACGTGATGGCCAAGAAGCGACAGCGTTCGATCTTAGGCTACCATTTTTATATCTGTTCGCATTTCTGTCGCGCGCACTCCCAGAGCGCGCTTCTTCTCCTTCGCCGTGGCGGTACTAGCGATCATCACAAAGTCTTGTTTTGAACTATACACAATGCACTAGGCTTGGTCTTATTGTGGAGTGCTTTTGGCACTGCTCAAAATGAGCTGGCTTGATTTTGTCAAATGAAATGGCCTCCTCATGCCCTTTGATGAGCAATATGAAGTATCTGTCGCATCAGTTTAAAACTTTGAAGGGTCCTTCATATGAATTTAGCAACGGTGTTTTCACAGTGTTTGTACGGATGAAGATATATATATATATAGCATGACACTTCTGGGCTGAGAAACAACACCGTGTGCAAGTTGCAGTGCTCTGTGGGCATAGGTTGCGGTTTCTGAGGAACATAGCCAGTTTTTGAAATCTTCAACATTAGTGATATCGGTGTGGGTGGTAGATATTAAAAGTTGCCCGGAAATACAAATGGCCATACAATAGCACAATTTCTGCTGTGCTTTGTCCCAGGTGTCAATGTTCCCAGCATGAAAAATCGTATATGTCTTCATTTATGGTGTGGCCGTACCTTTCACCTTCAAACTTTGCCTTCAACTGTCTGTTTCATCGTTTCACCATTCCGTGGTGGCTGGGGCGCTAGCACATACACATGGTATATACCTTGTACCCGGGAGTTGAGAAAGTTTCTGAAAGCGACTCAAATTGCCTTCCTCAATTTGTTGTGGAGATGTACTCCTAAGCAGCTATAAATAACCAACATGCTGCTGACTTCTGCTGTTATGGACTTGATATGACCTTGGGCCACCACCTGATGCAGTCAACGCAGGTAAAAATGTGTGCTTTGACAGTTGGTGGAAGCGGTCATAGGGTGGATCTTGGTGAACTGCCAATCAGGAGGTGAAAATTTGCCCAGTTGCATAGTCATGTGTCAACCTTTCGCATACTGGCATTGCAGACGTGCACATGACCACCTGGGAATGTCGTCATTAATTTAATTTAGGCAAGATAAATCGAGTAGTGCAGGCATTGAGCAGCTCAATTTTCAGGGTGTAAGAGAATGCAGTGCTTCAAAACTGTTTTTCGGAACTCGTCAGGAACGTTTGGCTTAGGTTATTCGTCGACGGGGTGATTCAGAAACACTTGGCGACCAATCCCTATTTTTAAGGTGAGCAAAGAGCTCACGTAGATGGTGTGCGTCGTCTTCCTGGTTGTCGCTGAAAACAAGCTTGATATCGTCCAGGTAAACAAAGATGAATTTACCTTCACATGAACTGCAGCTGTTTGTCTGAATCTATCGAGCTCAAACAGGGGGTTTCATTGTTTTCTTTATCGAACAGGTATGCACTTCGTTTTCATCGTGGTTGGTAGTCACTATGGTTTTGATGTGATTTTAATAATGACGGTGGGGAGTCGAGTTTGCGGTTAAAGGGATGCTGAACCGAAATTTAGAGCTCACAAAACAAGGCTGAAGCGATAGATGGGACGCTGCACAACCCCAAAACATGACTCGTACAGCGATATCTCTAACGGATGGCCGTATTTTTGGAAAAGAAGTGCACGATTGAACACGGCCGACAAAGCCAACGAGACATGTCACATCACGATTCCCATTCCCTCTCTTCTTCGATTCGTCCCCTCGAGCAGGTGAACCTAAATGAGGAGGAGAGAAGCGAGGCCGCTTCCCCTCGTTCTCAACTGTTCCAGGAGAATCGTGACATCACATATGCCTCTCTTGATTACGCCCTTTTCCAAAAATATGGCCATCCATTTGAGATATTGATGTACGAGTGATGTTTTGGAGTTCGTAGCGTCCCGTTCAATGCTTCTGCGGCCTTATTTTGCAAAATCCCAATTTTGGTTCAGCATCCCTTTAAACTTGGTTTATGAGAAGCAAAGAAGAGCGTTAGGTCAAGACCAACAAAAGGCACCTTCTGCCGTTGCCAAGGGGAGTCGATGGATGTTTATAAGAGGTGGGGGGACGCTCTGCCGGGCCCTGTTCACAAAAACAGGATGTCGGGTATAGCACTCAGTCTGTTGGTATACATAGCACATACGCAGCACTCTTCCACCCTTAGCTCACATCTGTTTGGGACTCGCAATGGCTCCTAACTAGGACGAATTCACCTTCTTGGCATGGGCAAGTTCTTCATCTTGGGAATGCCGATATTGTCCATCCAGTATTTATCGTCCTCGGAAGTTGGTGTTTCCATTTGAGGGGTCTGCAGCCGGATCAGGCTAACGTGTCGGACAACACCGCCGTCTGCTGTAGTGTCGACAGCCATGCGTGTTGCCCTAATTTCCTTTACAACTACAGAAATGCAACAGGAACCCAATTGACCTGTAGTCGCGAATAAACACGGTTCTTCCTCGTTGAAGTCCTTCGTCAGTTGCGGGCTGAGATTAATGTTCTTCCCTTTTCTCCAGCCCTGCTGGAGGAAGAAAGAAATGAGGTTCAATCTCGAACGTTGATGACCTCCCATCATTAGTTCTGCTGGGGCTTTTTCCAACCTGCTGTTAGGTGTTCGCCAGTACTAAAGCGACCAGCGGTCGTCTAGCTTTTCTTTGTAGGCCTTTGGCAGGAATCTTTTTTCAGCGCCAACTTCACCGTTCGCACTGCCCACTCGGCAATTCAATTTAACTGTAGGTGATAAGAACATGTCGCACACCCCTGTGGGACGTGAAGTCTTTTGAAGGGTTGCCCTGCGGTGACGGGAGTCCCATTGTCCGAGACGATGCAGTGTGCTGTTCTGAAACGATCAAAGTCCTATCATTACCTCTATGTATCCTTTACCACAATCGCTCCGATCCACGTAGAGAAGCTGTTTACCACAATTAGCAGCATTTGTCCATCGACTGGCACTGCATAGTCGATATGGCCGGATGATTGATCAGGAAATGGTTACTGCTGGCCATGGACAGTGGTTCTCTTTTGTGGGCAGCATAGGAAGCACCTGCTGGCATGCCAGTCGCACGTCATGTTCTTGATTTTGCTATTCATATTTTGCCACCATCAGAGCGATCTGGCCAGGGACTTCATCGTAGTCATCCAAGATTGGGCGTAGTGTAGTTTCAGCAGCATCGTTCGTCCTGCCTTTCGTGAAATTACCACTCTTCTCTTCCACACTACAAGTCCTTCGTCCACCGACATCTCTGCTCTGCAGGTTGAAAAAGGTTCGAGAGTGGGATCTTGTAGCTTATGGCTATCCTTCCAGAATACCTCGAAGTTTGCTCGATTCCGTATCTGCAGCTGTCAGGTCTGCAAGTTGTTTCAACGAAAGTGGTCCTGTTTCTAGTTGCTCCATGAAGGCCACTTGCTTCGGGCTTGTTGGAGATTTGCTTCCTTTTTTTCTGTGTAAAACGGCTGAACGCATCTTGCCGAAGATGCAAGTGCACTGGTGGGTCCTCCATTTTGCCATCTTCTGGCTTGAGCAGCTCGCCAAACTTTGTCTTGAGTTCAAAGACACTGTCTTCACGTCAGCGAAGTTCACCTTGTGGAGTAGACATAGTGCTCCAATTACGCTTTGGCCGTGGACTCGGTCCATTGCAGTCCAAGATGTAGACCTACGCCTTTGCACTCTGTCCTTTGTGTTGCACTGTCATGTGGAGAACTCTTTTAACTGGCAGGGCTCTATAGGTAGCATGACGGCTTCAGCTGGCAAGCAGTGATTTTCGGCCATGGCTGATGGTGTTGTTGATAAACACTCATCGATATGACTGACACTTGAGAATCGCTGTCGACCTCCATGCTGACAGGAACTCGGTTCCAATATGCAACGAAATAGTCTAGGCTTGTGCATGCGCAACTCACTGACACTGCTGATCAAAAGATGCAATCGCTTCTCGGGTACTGATTCTGCCACCACGATGGCGTTGGTTTGGCATGTCGTGCAACAGTACTTCATTGAGAGCGTGACTTGCATACCCTAGCGAGATGTCCTGCTTTTCTTCACTTAAAGCATGCGCTTGATACAAATTCAGGACACTTTTTAGCATCGTAATTGTTGTTGCCACACTGGTTGCATTTGTTGTGCTGTTGCATTTGCGACTGCGGTGTTTTGCTTCGTGGGAACCGTCCCACATTTTGCATTCCTTCATTCCTGCTCCGCTCACCTTGATGACTTCGGAATCTTCCAGGCCCGTCCCTTTCAAGACACAAGCATTCTAGCTAGCGGTTTAAACAGCCAGTGCCATCCGCATTGCTTTTTCCAAGGTCATCGATGACTGCCAGCAGTCTCTTCTGCACTCCTACCTCATGCACACCACACACCAATCGATGCCGGATCGTGATGTCGAGGGTGCTGCCGAAATTGCAAGAGTCTGCAAGTTTCAGGAGAGCTGCAAGAAATTTTGAGATAGTTTCATCCTTCTGTCAGTAGCGGCTATCGAACTTGTACCGTTTTATTATCTTGGATGGTGTCAGCAAGAAGTATTTGTTCAGGGTCCCCAGCAGCTCTTTGAACGTTTTTATACTTGGCTTGATGGGAGTCAATAAACTTCAAAGCCCCCAACTCTTAGGTCTTCGGTCCTACACAAGCCAGAAAGATCCCGGTCTTATGCTTGTCGTCAACAGTCCGATGGCCAACGAAGCAGCGCTCCAAGCATCCTAGCTGTGTAGTTCCCTCGTGGCTCCAACTCTGTGTCCTACCCGGGGCCAGTGCCAATCTTCACCCTCTTATTTTATATGGCGAGCTCTTTCCCAGATGTAAAGTCACAATCTGCAGGAACTTGCATTGTCAGTTGCTGTGAGTAGATGTGGGCTTTGTTGTTCTCGTTACCATTTCACTTGTTTTTAAAGTGACGGTAGGGAGTGGAGTAATTATGGCTAAACTTAGTTTGCTAGAAAGAAAAAAAAAATGTCTGGTCGAGACCACCGCAAAAAGATCCTTCTGCTGTTCAGGGGTCTATGGATGTTTATAAAACGAAGGGGGCGGGGGATGTTCTGCCAGTCCCCATTTGCAGAAGCAATATGTCGGGTGGCACTCCGTCTGCTGTTGTACATGGCACGTATGCGGCAGGTATCTTTAAGCTTCTCCGCATTCTAGGTCTTCCTGGAATTTCAAAGAATCAATGGTGTGCACCCTCGGCAGCTGGAGACAATTGCAGAGCGATACATGGTGTCACTTCTGACATTGGCGGGAAAAAAAGTTGAAACATTCAGCATGGAGCTGCTGACCAAGGCCGAAACTGTCCCCGATGGAGGCTGTGAGAATACAATCAAATGAACTTCCTTATATTTGCATGCATGCTTATAGATTTCAATATCTATGCTTTGACAGAACCTTATAGTTTTGCCCACTCCTACTCCCAAGGGATGAAAACTTTGGCTTTTCTGCTCACACTGCCCAGGATGGTCAAAGAACGGCCATCTTTCCTGAGAAGCTCGGTAACTATTGAAATAACCCCTGCTCCCCTTTTTTTTTAGAGTCTTTTGCTGCATGTGAATATTTATACATGTTCTTGAAATTGGGCTTAAAGCAGCTTTGCAATGAACTAAATGTGGATATCCTCATGCTTTGAAGCACACAGAACGCATAACCACAATAATGACCTACAATATTAGTACTTCCGAAATGTCACTTGCGAATTTCCTTCATTTCCATGCTCAGCTGGAATATGTTAGCCCCTTATTAGCTTTTTCCCAGGTCCCGTTTCTATTTATAAGAGACGGGCCCAAGCTAGATAGTACGCCTCACAATTTAAATTGTTTTCTAGGCACCATGGTTCGCTGCATATCCACTTGTTCTGTGGACCGACAACATCGAGGAACTCGGCCAGTGTGCCATCCAAGTGGAAAACCAGATCATAAAGGCAGAGAACCCAGCGCAGGCAGTCATTGCTGCATTCTGCTTGCATTGGGTGTTGAACTTTGTGTATGAGCCAGCATCCAGGGCATTCTACACAACTCTGGAGCACTTGCTTAGCATTACTAACACCAAACCGACAGGCATGGTCGTAAGGCTGCTCTCGAACCTGGAAAAGGTAGCATGAAACTGGAATAAACCATAGAAAGGTTAATAAAAAGGCCCTCATTATACTTTTTCTGCTTACATTGTCACATGTTGGAATCCATAAAGTTAGTTAAAATTTATACAGAGCACTTCCAACCAGTGGCAGCCCCCTCCGAATAAAAGTTGTGGCTATGTCACTGCTTACAACCAAAAGGTATATGGTTGAATACTACAAATGGTCTTTCAAGAAAGTGATTACCAAATAAGCTAAGCAGTCTAGGGGAACATGTGACTGTTATCAAGCACAAATAATAATTTTCCCATTTCGTATGGTTTAAAGGAAAGTGGAGAGAATCATAGAGGTGCGTACCCATCCCCTCCTGAAAGAAATTCCCGATTTGCCGATGCAATTGTATATGATAAAAAAATATTCGTATACATATATGAATTGCAGTAAATTTGGGGAATTATGGACGGTTGCAAGGAATGGGGGAAATAATTTTTATTTTTTTCTACGTAATGTGCTATGTACGTATGAAAAGTGATATTTGAAAATAGTTGTAAAATCAAATTTGAGTTTTATGTACAAAAACAAAAACTGTGGGCATCATGGCACATACCAGCGAAGAACTGAGGATTAATTTTGATCACAAAGGATCTGTTTACGTGCAACGAAAACCTAGTTACAACGGCAGCTCAGCCACGTCGGCCAGGATTCAAATGTAGGCCAGCTCCTTGGAGCCACCAAAAAAAGTGTTTAAAATGTGAACCGATATATGGGTTTAGATTTTTCCTATGAGTGGGAGGTGTTCGAAACACGAGAAAATCAAGATGTGTAGCATGAGTGCTGAGAAGCAGCACTTAATACACCCTGCACGTTAAAAATTTCGAAGTTTAGCTACCATGGATACTTTGGCTGTAAACAGTCTCGTTTTGTACACCTTGTTCTCTTTTAGAGGTTGCACTGCCAAAATTCTATTAGCCTCATATCTCCCCACCTCCCGAAATTCTTACCAGGAGATGTGGCCCTGGACAGTGCTTGTACGGCACGAGCGCGCGTGCTTGAAAGGGACGCTGAAAGCCCGGAGCTCGCCCTTGTAGCTTCTGCTCAGACGCATGCGGTTTGGAGAAGTTCGTTTTAGCGAACGCAGTTTTAGCGACCCGTTTATCGAATCAATTTATAGAGAAACCCAGTTTAGAGAGAATGGCGATGAGCCTTCGTTTAGCAAATTCGACTGCCGCAAAGCGGCGTATACGCGTGGATCAAGTAAGTAAACATTTTTTTTCATGAGCCGCCGCAGACCGCCGCCGCGAAGCGGGAACGCAGCGGGAGTTATACATACGCTTACACTCAAAGCGCTTAAAGTTTTCGTCCTCTCCAGAAACGTAAAGTCATAAACCAACCACAAAAAAAAAAAAAAAAAAAAAAAAAAGAAAGCGAGAAATAATTTTGCGCGCTGCTCTGAGAAACGGTGCCGAGCATCGCGTGAACGGAGCGCAAAATATTCCGTTATGAAGGCGCGTTCTTCCGTCAGGTTCCACACACGAGTCGCGTCAGCAGCTTATGTAGCTTTGCGGACCTAGTATAAAACGCAGTATATTCAGCGAACTACTGTGGGCTCGCTCCGTCATCCCCGTTCTAGGAGGTGCTTTGTGGGGAAGCGAAAACTAACCGGTGATTGGAGGTTCTGTAAACTGTAAACGACTTAATTTTCGCAAGAAACTAATTTTAGTGAATCGCCTACATTTCGCAAAAATAGGTCCGCCGAACAATTCCGGATTAGAACCCGCGAATTCTTCCAAAAACTTCAGTTTTAACCTAAATCGCGAAGTATTGAGCCCGCGAAAAATACGTCTTTTACAGTAATTACGGCTCGTACATTTACTTTCTACTAGGAGATACATCCCTTGACCCGTTTGAAATAAATTTTAAAGAACAATATTTATGAGATAAAAAAATCATACCTCTAACGTTATCCAATGCTGAGCAGATCACCCGCGCAGAAGTTCTGCCAAAATGTCGAGTATAAAAGACGGATGCGCTTCTATCGCAGTCGGTGAGTGGAGTACGGTTACTCTGTGATTACAGTGTCTGTGTAGTCTGTGCGTTAGAGTCACGTGTGCCTTGCGTTTGTCCATGTGCAGTGCGAGTGGCATGCTCGAAGGCAGAGACGCTTGTGGGAAAATGTGTGCGTGTTAATGCCTATAATATAAAATCCAGAAAAAGAAGAACGCTTTTTTTTTTTTTTAATTTGACACAGAATAAATGGATACAGCATGGCAGCTGGAATTTTTGAAGTAGGCGGTGCCTAGCGCCATCTGGCCTACCTGGTGTCAGTTTTTTGTGTGGATGGATGGATGGATGAATGGATGGATGAATACGGCTGAGCCCTTTGGATCGGGCGGTAGCTTACGCCACCTAGCCATTTTGTTTTACCATTTAAGCTTAGAATATTTAAATGTGAAATCTATATTCACTCCGCAGTGCAAAGAAAGTGAGGCTATGAAACCCCCTTGCCATCAGTGGATAAGAAAATACCTAGTTTTCTCTCGATTTCTGCCACCATTCACTTAATCTTTGCTTGGTAATCTCTACAGTCTTGAAATCCACTCTCCCTTCGCTGTCTCTAAAACCCAATGACTTTATTAAATCTATGTTGTCTTCGGTAGGCATAGGGTGAAGCCCTTTACAGTAGAGTATCAAGTGCTCAGCCGTCTCGTCCTCCTCTCCACAAGCAGTGCACACTGTATCAATTTCCTGGTACTTCACTCTGTATGTTCTGGTTCGCAGAACACCCGTTCTTGCCTCAAACAGCAATGAGCTTCCCCTAGAATTGTCATAAATGCTTTCTTTGGCAATAACTCTTTTGTTTAATCTATAGCTTTCCAGAGCCGTCTTTGTCTGCATTCCCTCTAGCCACCAATCTCTTTCTGTGGCCTTAACTTTCTTCTTAACTGAGACTTGCTCTTCCGTATCTTCGCTATAGCCCAAAAACTTTCCTCTTAATTTCCTAGTGCGCTGTCTCCACTTTGTGTCTACACTCCTCATGTATAAATAGCTGAAAACCTTTCGTGCCCATTGCTCCCCGTCCATTTGCCTCAACCTATCCTCAAATTCTACCTTGCTCACCGCTTCCCTGCTCTCAAATGATGCCCATCCCATGTCTCCTTGTACTCCCTGGTTTGGCGTTTTGCAATGTGCCCCCAAAGCCAGTCTACCTACTCCGCGCTGTTTTATTTCTAGTCTCCCATGCACTTCGGATTTCATGCATAGCACTGCGTTTCCAAAAGTCAAGCCAGGCACCATGACCCCTTTCCAAATCTCTCTCACCACCTCATACCTGTTGTAATTCCAAAGTGCTCTATTTTTCATTACAGCTGCATTTCTGTTGCCCTTACCTATTATATACTTTTCATGGTCTCTGAGATATTCTGCACCATCACATATCCATACTCCTAGATACTTGTATTTACTAGCTCTCTCAACTGTAATATTCTGTATCTTCAGCCTCTCAACTTCATCCTCGTTAAAAATCATGACTGCCGATTTTTCGCTACTGAATTCTAAACCTAATTCCTCTCCTTCCCTACCACAGATGCTCATTAATTCCTGCAACTCTGTCCTGTTGTTAGCCATTAGTACAATATCATCCGCATACATCAATCCCGGTAAGGATTGCTGAATTTTTTGGCCTAGCTTACTGTAAGAAGGTTGAACCCAAGCCCACTCTTCTCTAGTCTATCCTCCAATCCTCTGAGATACAACATAAACAGCAAAGGCGATAACGGGCACCCCTGCCTAAGGCCTCGTCTTATCTCTATTTTCCCTGTCGCCTTTCCTTCCCATGTTATAATCACCTTGTTATCTTTGTAAATGTTCCTTAATAGTGCTGTTAGTCCTTCATTTAGGTTTAAGTTCTCCATTATGTCCCACAGGTTTCTTTGGTTCACATTGTCATAGGCACCCTTGATATCCAGAAATGCCAGCCAGAGCTGTCTGTTTTCTTTTTGCGCTATTTCTATACACTGTGTTAGAGAAAATAAATTGTCCTCCAACCTTCTTTGTTTTCGAAACCCGTTCTGTAATTCGCCCAGTATGCCCTCGCAATCTACCCATTCCTCCAGTCTGTTCTTTATAATCTGCATTACCAACCTGTAAATAACCGGTGTCACTGTTATAGGACGATAATTCCTAATATCAGACTTATCTCCCTTTCCCTTATATATCATACTCATCCTACTAAGCCTCCATTCATCTGGAATATTTCCTTTTGTTATCATGGTACTCACTACCTCCCTTAGTTTTGCCTTAGATTTAGGACCCAAATTCTTCACCAGCTTGATAGGGATACCATCTGTGCCTGTCGACGTGCCACTAGGGACTCTTCGTTCCGCCTTTTCCCATTCTCTTTGTCCAAAATCCGCGATGTCACAAACTGGATTGCTACTTCCTTCGGTTCTCCTATCTTCCACATGTAACCGTTCCCGAAATTTCTCCTCCATCACTGCTCCTATATATTGTATCGCAACATCTCCCTCTAATTGATCTCCCTGATGCGAGAGTATGAACCTCTGTCTAGCTTGCGTTGTTTCACCGAGTGAGTTCAAGTGCTCCCAAAACTTCTTGGCAGCGTTTCTATCTTTCTTACTTACATTACTCATCCATTCCTCACCCTTTCTCTGAATTTTCGCATTGATCAAACTGGATGCCTCTCGGCGACATGCTATAAAATTGTCCCATTTTCTTTTTACTTCCGTTTCGGACTCCCCACTACGCTTGGAATACCTGTGTTCTCTAGAGGCTTCCTGACGTTTTTGTATCGCTTGCTTCACTTCTTTGTCCCACCAGCTTTTTGGTCTATGTCCTTGCTTCCCCTTTCGTTTACTCTTAACTTTGTCTAGTTCTAGAGCAAAAAGCCTAGTTAGGCTCTCATAGGTCCAATCTGTATGCCGGTGCCCTGAAACTGCTGCCTCTATTCTTTCAACAACTATTTCCAACTCTTTGTCGCTGCAGAAAGTTCGCTTTGAATTATGTTGTCTAGTTTCAGGATTTACTTCTCTGGCAAAATTCAGC